CAGGGCTGGCACTGACCCCCCTCTCGGCCCTGCAGGTTCGGGTGCTCCTCTCCCTCCTGCCAAGAACCTGCCGCTGATGCTGGGACTTGCTCTCGTTCTGGGATGCTGGGGAGGAGTTTTCTAACCCCCATCAGGTAACTGACCCCAAGGACCCCTGGAAGGACTCCTGCTCGGGCAGACGCGGGGTCTCCCTGGGCACTGTGTGTCTGTGGAACTGCTGGCCACAGTGCTGGGCTGGCCATGGCACCAGCCCGGCTCTAGGCAAGGCAGCCACCTGGCCTGGGAGCCTCAGAGGCATCCCAAAGTCAATCAGCGCTTCCAGCCTCTGCTCCAAGAGCCCTGGTCACCCTCAGCATTGTCCTACCTGTCTTTCTGTCCCTTATGGCTGTGGACAAAAATGGGAAATGCCACCTGAGCTCCAAACCCACAGCCAGGATGGGCCTGCTCGCACTGCACCATGGCAGCACTCCTGAGACCTGCCTCATCTGCAGCTGAGTTACCTCTTGGGAGCTCTGTGAGGGATGGTGATGTATTTTGGAGAGACAAGGAATGTGGCCGTGCCAGGGCCAGGACCCCCCCCCAACTCACAGCAAACTCCCAGCCCTGCAATTGCCAAACCCCAGAGCTGTGCAGAGCCTGTTCAGTTGTGCCAGATTCACGGGACCTGCTCCACAGCAGGGCTGAGGCAAAAGGCCTTCATACAAATCCAAACTTCCCTCTGCAGGAAGCAGCCCAGGGTCCCTCAACCAGGCTGTGTCTTAGGGGACAGCAGGACACCCCCATCCCACAGGCCCAGTTCTGACCCTTCCAGCAGGGCATTCCAGCAGCCCCAGACCCACCCCAGATGCTGCGGTGCCTTTCCCCAACCCTGTGCCTCATCTCAGGGGCTCGATAAACATCTGTTGCCATAGAGACTCACTCACTGTATCAGCTTCACCCAACGAGATGAAACAAGAGCCGCACCCTCAGAAAAACAGGAAGAAAATGTTTGGCTTGAAGCCGTGCTGGGGTGGGGGTCAGGGCGGCAGCAGCAGCGGGAGGCTCTGAAAGGGGAGCGTGGCCAGTGCTGTGCACACCGTTGAGGTTGATATTAATGACAACAGTGCACAGAAACCTTCCCAGCTTTCCTGCTGGTGACCTTGGGACTTTCTGTGCAGGTCAGCACATCCATGCCCATTTTACAGGAGGAGGCAGCCAACTCCATTGGGAAGTTAGTATCCTGGAGATCCCAGCAGAGTCTGCAGAGCTCAGAATCCAGTGGTGCCAGGCTCCATATGCCCCCATGCCAGTAGTCCTCAGGGTGCTCCAGTGGGTGTGGAGCAGGATCACAGACTCATGGAATGGTTTGGGTTGGAATGGACCTTAAAGCTCATCTCACTTTAAGTCCCCTTTCCACTACACCAGGCTGCTCCAAGCCCCATCCAACCCAGCCTTGGACACTTCTAGGGATGGGGCAGCCACAGCTTCTCTGGGCAACCTGTGCCAGGGCCTCACCACCCTCCCAGGAGAGAATTTCCTCCTAACAGCAGTGAGGAAGGGACTGTCCTGGAGGTATCTGAAGGAAGGTTTCCATTGCTCCTGAAATCACAGGGTTTGCCATGGGACACACCTCGGTGTGGCTGTTTTCACGTGGAGTGGCAGGACATAAAACACTGGACACAGTACTTGGTCTTGATGCATTTCCAGCACGGAGCATCGTTCGATCTCTGTGCCTCTGAGACCCGGCCCTGCTCCTCCGTCCCCCCTG